TAATCACTGTTGATGTCAAGTCTAATAATGGAAGATACTTATCGTTCTCCGTTTCTCCGTTCGAAATATCCTCCCGTTTATTATAAACTTACTGGGGTCATGCTTCTCCCCTCTTCTTTCTTCTTCCATTTAATTATCCCCTAAGTTGATCTTATTCTCAGAATTGATTAGATATTGACTACTTTCAAGATTCGTTGCGTGGGATTTGTTCTTTTAAATTAAAGCGACGCGGACGATAGCATCTCTTCCTCTTCGTCTTAAACTATTAATCATGATTATGATAATGCGCTCTCCGTGTTGACGCTAATTATATTAATTACTAACGACTTGTCTTTTGAAATACTTATTAAATTTTTCTGTAACGCAGAGATTTGTGTGCCATCACTTACATGCCACCGTTTACATATAATTCACGCGTGAGAGAAAATTATATAACTATTTCAAGTTAATTTTACAAATGAGCTCCTAAAGATTATATGTAAGCCATTTAAAAAAAAAATAGAACAGTAATATTTAATTCGTTAAAAATAGCGAAATAATCAATGCGAAATTTTCGAGCAGAGTGTTCCCAGACAGCACAAAACGTCCTCAGGATCATCCTGAATATGTCCAGGATGGTTAAGGATATTTGTAGGATGTTTTAAGATATTATTATAAATATATTTTATGAAATACTTTCTTATGTATAAATATCTCGTATGAGTATTCAAATAGTAACTGTATATCAACGAGAACTGCTTTCTAATCAGTATCAGAAAGAGTAGAGTCTCATGGGAAGATTGGCACAAGCTCGCGAATGACTAGTGATGAAAAACAATTTTTTTCGCCAAGAGATTTGTTTTTTGTTTTCCCTTCTTTGGCGATCTCCTAACGCAAGGCGCTATCGTCCGCGTGAATCTTTGTTAAAAGCGAGAACCTCAGCGTCATCGTTATATATCGTTCAAGTCTAGGAATCACAGAAATGCCTGATTGCTCTTCAACAATCGACATTGTTACATCTCACATTGACATGTGTATGCTGTGTGACGATAGTTATAATTATATATTATACTTAAGAAACTATCTAATTAAATTACATAAAGAGATCTAGAAACTGATTATTTTTCAAAATTTAAAAAGCTTGCAAGTTCTAAGGTTTATGTCTAATTCAAAGAGAGCCCAAAAGATCTAAGAATATACAATTCCAGATGATTACTTAATATTTCATGGACTCGAAATCTATATTTCTAATCACCCGCAATTTTAAGAAAATTTCAAATTACGCAAGAACTTTGAGGCAAATTCTAAAATAACTTTTTAGATTCTAAAATAGATTCTAAAATAACTTTCAGGGATGTAAAAGTTTCTGCAGAATCGAATTTCAAATTAAAGATTATTTTTTTCTTATTAATTAATTGCACAGCTATAGTTCCATCGAATACAGAATGTCTGAGACTCCATCCGAGTTCTGTTTCATTTACGATTTCAAAAGTTGGTCAAAAGTTATAATTATCACTTCAAAGAAACTCGTAGGTAGATGAAAGCGGACTCGCTAGCAAGTTTGGAACATCCTGTATATGTGACGTGCGTAAATGTAATTATATATATAATTATAACTATAATGAGAACAATCTTTCAATCGCACGCATCGCGCTTATTTATAATTCTCGAACAACGAGATATAAAGTATTAACACGACACCCTGTGTGCTACTTTCTCGTTAGCTCGATCTGTTCGCGAGCCGACTCGATATCGAAAGGATACACAGAAGATGCAGCGTAGTAAGGAGTCTCTTTCAGGAGGATCCCCCACATCCCTGTATGTAGGATGATCGCTTCGCGAATCGCTGGTTTTCAAAAGTATCGAATACGAGTTTGATAAAGGAGACCGATCGGAGTCTGAGGATCTCGTTGATAATGACATATCAATATTCGTGAATGTGAACGAAACATTCGATGATTGAGAAGTAAATACGTCCGAAAAAAAGAAAAATATCTATTTCAAAAAATTAAGAAACTCGTGAGAACAATCACGACTTGATTTTCTCCAAGAATTATAACCATGATTATTATTATTATTATTATTTTTTTTGCGAAAAGGAATATTTATGTAATGCGTTTTTTTCCGGGATTGGCGGGCAGTATCTCTTGTATATCTTTTTTTGTCTACGTTCGTTTATAATAAATCTCAGAAATGTAGTGAAACTTTGCGAGAGACAAACGTTTTAAGTTGCTTTTAAGCATATTTTATTTTTACACATATACTTTTCTGGAATCTCGATTGGCAGATAATATTAATATGCTATCGGATATCATTTGGGTAAAATGTTCACGTTGATAGGGTATGTTGAATCGTCGGGATATCGATCTGACATAATGATTAATGTGTTGAAACTTTGGAAAAAAATTCAAAAATGTAATGTTCCAAATATAATAAGATTGATTGCGAGGATTTAAGATCCTACGAGGAATAACTCCAAAGTCATAACACCGCTAAATTCAAAGTTTTAAAAGTTGAACATTCCGTAATTTCTGTTGTGCAAATTGCGAGTTTTAAGGACACACGGTCCTGAGTCTTAGTTTTTAAAATTTAACGCTCAACTTTTGCTAATTTTAATATCGAATTCAAAGTTTCGGGAATATCCGAAGAGC